CGGCCCCTCCGGGGTGTGATACGTGTCAAACAGCACTGAGATTAAGGGAAGGGGGTTAGAGCTGCAGTGTGACCGTGCAGCTCAGCAGGCATGTTCGCAGCGGCGGGTAATCGTGTCAGACAGGTGACAAGACTTGCTGTGAACTGTTGACCTGAACCCGATGCTGCTCACGCCAAAGTCACAGAGGAGAAGGAGAAAAGAAGCAGGAACAGGGTTATTAGTGCTGAGACAATGGGCCTCGCTCTCAAACAGTGTGTACGACTGCTTTTCCTTACCTCAATCTGTTGCAGTACGCTGCAACCAAAGTTAGAGCTACCTTAGCAGCTTCCATATTTGTACCCAGAATGATTCATGTTTGGATATTTTACAAAATGGTAACATTTATGTTACAGTTTTTCAAAGCAACAATAAAAAATGCTTGTGAGTTTAAGTAAACAGCAATGAAGAAAGGTTTCATGCATTTACCACAGTGATCATAGCTCACATTTAAATGTTTGTCATATAAAATTAATATTCAGAGAACAATCAATTCTTGTTGGATTTTATCGCTTCCCCTCTGGTTTCAGAGAAACATCCCACATCTGGGTGTTTTTTTCTGTTCTCGTGGGGAGTTTCTCAACTCATGCTGACACATTAGGTGCTTTTTGTCCTCCAACCTCCTTCCTTCTTTTTCGTTGGTCTCTAATTCTCTTTTTGATGTCAAACCTTCTTTTGTTGATCTGAGCCACAGTCCCAGGGGGCAGGCAGCCTTCACCACCTTGATTATTCCAGCTTTAGCACTGGACTACTTCTGGCTTCAGCTTTTGTTTGACACTGATTTTTCAGACTTTTTCAGAACACATCAAATACATCACAGCTGTCACAGTGATGCACACACTAAGGTAAATGAATTTACTCAAACAGAGAAATGAGCTTGGACTGACTGCTAACGCTGGACACATACAACCAACAAATACATTTTCGATTAAAAATCATACTCAGTGTGTACCTTTAATTAATCTCGCTTAATCTACAGTTTTGTGTGTGAACAAGGTAAGAATATTTCACATCAGTGTCTCTGAACTAACCTTTTGTGCTTAAAGGTCCACAGGGACCTTTGCCCTATGTCCAGGGAAGACATAAGGAACACTGGAAAGATTTATTTACATTTTGGCTGAGGTGTAGTCATGTTTGAGAAGAATGCAGCTCATGAAGAGCAGTTTGCTCAATCCTCCTAATCCTGAATGTCCTCTCAGCCTGTCACAGTACTTTGCTTAGTCCCTGATTAATTTGGCCCACAGCAATTGAACTCTGAAGGTTTTAATACCAAAAGCAAACAAAAGCAACTCTCAAAACATTAGCTGTCCCCAATACAGAGTACAGCATGTTAATACTTGCTGAGATTTGAAAGCTCCAAAAAGTCCAAAGTGCAGCGTTCAGTGGAACAGCAACGGGTCTGCTTTGTGGTCTCAGTTCACCGTTACCTGCCTGTGCACAGATCAAAAGTCTACTGACTGCCTCTGAAGTCATCTGATACACCAGTCTTGAATGAAGTCTTGGTTTTCAAGTATATAAGCACTTAAAAAGAGAACAGCAGACTAATCCTGAGTCACCCTCTCTGCGCGCAGGACTTGATGAGATGCTGGAAAGCTTCCTCTGAGAGTCTGCTCAGGGTCCACATGATTCATCATCTCTTTCGTGCACATCGACGGTTTGCTCTGTTACTTCACAGTAAGGAGTTCCTGGGTTCAAAGCTGAGCTGTGTAAAGTTTTCATGACCTCCATCTGTGTAAGATGTTATCAAAAACATGCTAAATGCCCTTGACGTTTTGAGCTGCCCCCCTACAGATGCCAACCTACGCTTCCATCCATCTTTGTTCTTAACTGCTTGTTCCATTTGGGGGAGGATGGAGAGATCCCAGCATATCCGACATTGAGTGGGACTATGATGGTTTGGCTTTGACCATAGGACAAATGTGTTTTATCTGAGTACCACTTCTCTTCTCTCAGGTGTTGTGTCAGTTAGCCGTCTTCAGGTTTTTTCTTTTTGAGCTGTTAACTTTTGTAAATTAGAGCCAAATGAAATGTGGGACATAGGATAGAATCCAATACAGTCCTGCATGAAGTGGAAAAGCTAACGATCCTAACTTAGAGTTGCAGGGGGGCTGAAAGCTAATCCAGCTGTAATAGGATGAGATGTGGGCTGCACCTGTCCACCATGGGGCTGACGCAAAGTCAGACACACTCACTCTGACATCACAGGCTCAGGGAGGAATACGAACTTCACACAGAGATGGAAATGCTGACCGAGGGGCTTCTAGCTGTCAGGCGACTGCACTGAAAAACTGAAACTCTTTAGAAACAGCCTGGATGTTATCAAAAGGTTTCTCGTAAACTTGATGTGCAGATGCAGGTCTGTTCCCTGCAGCACTTTTATGGTGAGAAACATGAAAGACCACCTAAGGCCAGCAGCACCTGCTGTTTGTGGAGAAAGTAAATTTACTGTTGACTTTTCCATAAATTCTTGGAAGCAGCAGCTCACCTGAGATGACGCGTGCCATCGTGCTGTCTTTAAAACGTTTACAGGTCCAACAGGTTCTGGAAGAATACAATAATAAGCTTTATTTATAAAGATCACAAAGTGATTTACAGCATGTCCAGATAAAACAAATCAGCACAATAAAACCTGATAAAAATCAAACTTCTAAAGGCGTGGAAAACAAATAACCAAATTTCCCATCATCCTGTTCTCATATCAAATTCGTCTTCCTGAATTCTAGCTAATATTGTGATAAATAACCAAAACAAAACAAGTCTGATCGTAGAAATGTTACACAAGAATTTAAAAAGTGGCTACTCAGCATGTTAGATGTGAACACACGTGGGTTCAGAGAAGACCTAAACCGCTTTGATCAGATTAAAAGAAAAAACAAAAACAAACCTAGAGCTCCGAGACCAGCCCCGTCTCGTACAAATAACAAACCAAATTATTTGATGTCTTTCAGCAACACATTTATTCCTGTGTGTGCATGTTCAGTCCTTGAATGAGGTCCCTTGGCTGCAGCCCTGACACTGATGTGTAATTTACAGTTGTAGAAATAATGGATGAATTCATGTCAGCGTCCATCAGAGTACTTTCTTGGAAATGTATCACTTCTTTTTCAGAAATCATGAGCACAGTTGTCTGGAAATTAGTGTTACCCAATGCAATATACAAATGAAATCAATGACAGCATAAAAAGGGAAGCTTGATGGAAAAGAGAACAAAGTTAGTGTGAGCCGAAATAGTAAATTATGTAGAATTTGGCTCTTTGGAGCCAAAACAGAAGGAAATAAAAGAAAAGCTTCAGCATGCACTCTTTAGTGATGTTAGCTAAACAGCAAAAATTGCAACTTGTACTTTCCAGTTCTTATTCTATAAGTAATTTGGCCTCACTGGCCAGATTTAAACTGTGAGAATTTAGACTTTAGAGTAAACCCTGAAAAGACGTCATCAAATCCAGCTTGTCACTTCTTTTAATGTTCAAGCCTCTCGCCCCTGCAGTCAAAGCTCATCCCAGCTGTGTGTGGACTTGTTCTCCGAGTGTGCGATGGGATTTTCTGGCTTCTCCTGCTGTCAAAAACATACCAGGTTAACGCTCCTGTCAAAGTGGCGTCCTCACTCTGAGCCATCCTCAGATCAGCGGCTCTGAGTGCTTCTGCATTTTTTCAAATGATATAGGTTAAAGGCTTGGTTGGAGTTAGACAAAGGACAAAATATACTTTATTTTCTTTCAGCTCATCATTAAGAGCCAAACGTCAAACAAATGCAACGGCGCAAGAGTTAAGGGGTCGGCATTTGGCTGTTGCTCAACAGCTGTTAATCATAGAACAGCCCAGCTCCTCTCTTTGTCGCTGGCTGGGAGTGTCAAGCACCAAATTGAAATGAGTCGAGAAAGTTGTTTCTGAGCCAAGTTTCAGTCAGAAGAAAGCCCAACAGTTCCAAGTCTCCTTTGTCTGGTCAATCTCAGCCGGCGCAACTGGAGCAGGTCGCGTTAACTGTTCGATGAGCAAACGTCGACCCATAAAAAGGAATATCCTGCATCCATTACTCAAAGGTATATAGGCATCATTACAGTGCAAATACAAATACAGCGATGCAAAGAACTTAAAGGAGACGAGAGAGGTGCAGGGGGGTGCTGGTGCTTGTTTGAAGGTTTCGATTTTTAAAAAAGAAAATGTGTTTTTTGCATGATGTGCGGCAGTGTGACAAAGTAACTCCAACTGGAGCTTTTGTGTTGACCTTTAAGAGTGCAGTGCAGTCGTTATTGACGTCACTAAATTCGATTCATCAATACACTAATCGGTAATCTGTCTCAGTCTTCTGATGAGCTCCATGTGGCGCTGTAATGACCTCATACAAATTTCAACATAAAGTTCAAGCACAAAAGTTCATTCTTAAACCACTGAGCCCAACATAAGGTCTGCTTACTGGTTTTTCCTGAACACCGGGCGCTCAGAGCTCTGGAATTGGGATTTTATTTGTTTGTCTTTTTTTTAAACAGTGAATGAGATTTTAACGCGAGCTGTCAGTCGAACAAAGGACTCAGTCTGTCCGCTGAGTGAAAACCTTGTATCTCCACTTCTGGCAGCTTTCCTGCTTTCAGATCAGCTGCTGCACAAGTCAAGGTCACATTCTGACCTGTGAAACTCATAAAAACATTATCAGTAGAAACAGAGAAGTAATATAAGACATGACGTTTCCCGCGCCGTGTGTGTGTTTCAGGTTTGTGCTTTGTTTTTATTTTTATTTTTTTATTGCATAAAAACTTTGATAAATGATCAGGTAATTCACACTCATGATTGTTCTTGAGCCAAACTTGCTCTCTCAGTGTGTGTGTGTGTGTGTGTGTGTGTGTGTGTGTGTGTGTGTGTGTGTGTGTGTGTGTGTGTGTGTGTGTGTGTGTGTGTGGGCTGCAGATTAGATGCAAGGCTACAGCCTTTAGTCCCTCCTCCTTCCCCTGCAGATCTCTATATATACAGTGAGTGAGAGAAGCAGCCGAAGAGCTCTGTACCGGCTGCTCGTCAGAACACAGAGTGTGAGAGGGAGTGTGTACAGCAGAGAGGGACAGCAACAAATAGACACACACTCAGACTGAGTTACTATCTGACAGAGGGGACAGCACGCTCTTGTTTCTTTAAACTTCAAACTTGCAGCTGCAGGAAAGAAGGACAGACAGGTAAAAATTAGGCAGACAGGTAGAACAGGTGAAAAAGCCACTCATACTCTCCTTCAGTGATGGAAGACTACACTCTCCCCTTCTGGATTTACCTGGCCATTGTGACTGTGTTCATCGGCGGAGCCATGAAGAAGATCTTGGCGTCCCACCTGAACACCACCTCCACCGTGGTGGCCTGGCTGGGGGCCACCGTGCTGGTGGAGAGGCTGTGGGCGTTCTGCCTACCGGCCATGCTGCTCCCGGTGCTATTTGGCATCACCTTCTGCATCTACTATGCAACCAAGACCAGCCAGCCACGAGCCATGCTGCCTGCCCACGGCAAAGCCGTAATCATCACAGGTAAGAGGAGGCACTGCCCACTCATTCGGGTGTTTTATCGACACTAGAAATCAGACGTTTGTGTATTTATTCTGGGTTGGGTCTTATTTTCACAACAGCGTGTGTATGCAGTCTTTTTAGTTGTTGTCAGTTGTGCACTTTAGGTGAAATCCTCCTAATTTCTCCTCAATGATAAGGGTTTCTGTCAGATTTAGGATCCTGGGTGTCGGGAAGATGGGGAACTGGTTGCTCCAAAAGCATGAAAACCAACAATCTTTGCTTGAAAACAAGCAAACTTTGTAAATTTCTGAAAAGTGCATCATCAGATTTTGCTCAAACTTGTTTTGAGTTTATCAACGTATCTATCAGCAGGAGCATGTAATTTAAGATATGCTTATTTTACCCCGAGAAAAATCTGTCCTGAAATTACAGTACATCGGTGTTCTCTGTCTAAAATAAACCTCAAGCTGGCAGGAATCCCAAAGCTTATAAAGATCCCTGATCCTGTAATTTGCAGTTAGAATTTCATGCAAGCATGCAAAAGCAGAGCAGAAAAATATTAAATGCAGCCTTAAAACTTAATATTATACTGTTTTCAACAGAGCCTCTGAGGGGAAGGGTAGAGGCGAGCAGGCTTTCAGAGGTGAAAAGGAGAAGTTTTGTAATCTTTAGTGTGACTGTAAATGATCACAGACGTGGTGAGGTCCCGGTGTACTGAGCCCTCTTTAAAAACCATTCGAATCACCGCTCGGATCAAGGAGGTGATCTGATCCCAAAGGAAAACAGTGTGTGTTGGCTCTCTGTTTGTGTGTGTGACAGGGAATAAACTTTATGCACAATGAGCGCCTGCAGGGAGGGGGTGGGGGAGTGTGGTGGTCAAATGGGATTTCCCTTCACAATAAAAGTCAGCGTATAAGGGAAACGTCAGCGGTGTGTTTGCTGATCACAGATGACTGTTTTTGCTGCGCTCTCTGTTATCTGAGCACTGTGGAGTGAGTCTAATAGAAGACTTATATTCATGGGTGTGTGTGTGTGTGTGTGTGTGTGTGTGTGTGTGTGTGTGTGTGTGTGTGTGTGTGTGTGTGTGTGTGTGTGTGTGTGTGTGTGGGCTGACCTCCGTCTCCATGCAGCCTTAATCACACTTTTGTTGCCTGACATCCAGCTGGCCCAGGCCTCTTTGTGTCATAGTTAACGAGATAATCATATCTACAGATTAATGCGTCACTTTAATCACACCACGCTTTGCTTTTGTGTAACTGTACTCTCCTGTAATCTCCGTAGAAGCACACATATAGTGGAAACTTTCCCAAACTGCTCCTCAGGTAACCCTGAAAGGTAGGAAACAGCCGTTACTGTGGAGACAGAAAGACGCTCAGCCGTTGTGTTAAATTACCTGTTGCTTCCCTGTAAATGTCAAACACAGATCACATTAAAAAATATAATGAAATCTGCCTTGATCTACTGAGAGGGTGTTCATTGTTATTCATTAGTCCTTACCTGTTGTTTTCTTAATTTATTACTTGTTTAGTTCTCCTAGCTTCACATTTGGAGAAGTTAAGCTCAGAAAATAGGCGCGAAGTTTCTTAATTTGGAGCCCAAGTTCTATCGACCAATCACATCCGAGCAGATAAAAAGTGCGTGTGGAGAAAAAACAAGAGGTCACATTTGCAATTTCATAACAGTGACAATGGTAAGTCTCGATAGCAGCCAGTGACATTCACTGCCATCCATCTAATTTCTTTCTAAATAATTATAGGGTGTGTTTATTTTTTATAGCTCACTTGATTAGATTCTATCAAGGCATAAAGTTAAAGGTGTGGTTCCAGCGATGTCTCTTCTAAGTGCCTGCTGAGCTTTCTTAATATTTGACTGACTGTGTTGGAGCCTATGGAGAATTTTAATGCAGTTATCCCCTGGCTTACATAATAACCTGACACTCCAGCCTCTGGCAGTCACTTTTGGCTGCAAACACTTAAGCTTCAAAACCAGACTTCACAGTGGCTACGGTCACTTTTTACAAACAGCTACTGTAATGATAATTTCCCATGACACACAGTTTCTGAGATTTTTTGACATATAAAAAACAGGCTATTACCAACGCACATATTTCCTGTAAGGCAGCACGGTGGTTAGCACTGTTGCCGCACAGCAAGAAGGTCCTGAGTTCAATTCCACCATCAGGCCAGGGTCTTTCTGTGTGGACTTTTCATGTTTGTGTGGGTTCCCTCCGGGTACTCCGGCTTCCTCCCACCGTCCAAAGACATGCAGCTTGTGGGGATAGGTTAATTGGATAATTGCCACTAGGTGTGAATGTGAGTGTGAATGGTTGTCTGTCCCTGTGTGTTGGCCCTGCGACAGACTGGCGACCTGTCCAGGGTGTACCCCGCCTCTCGCCCTATGACAGCTGGGATAGGCTCCAGCGCCCCCCGCGACCCTGAAAAGGATAAGCGGAAGCGAATGGATGGATGGATGTTTCCTGTAAGCTGCGCACGATCAAAAACCCAAATACTGGAGCAATTACATAAATACACACAGGTAAAATGCGTCTTGGGAGGTTTTCTGTGTATTTTTCAAACAAATAAAAGTTATGTTAATTATTATCATCCCAAACAAAGTGAAATGTCATTCAGCTGCACAGGATTGGCCCGTATTTCCTGTTATATTTTCTTGCTTTGTGGGGATGTCAGTTTGTTTGCAAACACCTTTACACTTTGAACAAAGGTGTGGTCCAGATCTCTGCCACTCACCTCCCACACAGGAAGGAGTGCTCCTTTGAACGGGAGGAAAAAAATCTAGGTTAAACAAATAAAGCCGTTCACGTTCACGCATTAAACTGCACCGGCACCAGTGAGTATAACACATCACACAGCATCCATCAAGCAGCACACCTTTAGAAAAACAGATGTTAGCCATAAACTGGTCTCGGTGTCAGTCAGTCCACTTCTCTCGTTAAGAGTGAAATGTCTGGATGAACTGGCACAACGTTTGTCTCCAGTATTACTTACCCTACAGGCACAAATGATGGTAGGATACTGGAGGAGCAGAAGTCTGCATGAACAAACTCAAATGAGACGACACCTTTAGGGTGAAAGGATGATGGGGGTATTAAACAGCAATAGCAGGAGCAATGAGATGAACTAAAACAATACTCTGACTACTCACCAAAAGACTACCTCTAATAGCAATGAAACAGCCAAAACTCTTAAACCAATTAGTTGGTCTGTGGATTTAATAGATCAATGAATAAAATATTACGTGTTCCTCTAACAGCTAAAAAGTCAGATTCTCACGTCTGTACTAGTCTGATTGTACACATTCGCCATGGCACAGATTCAAAGTAATCCCAAACCAGAACAAACATATCCTGCAGACTAAGCGGTCTGACACCGGAGCTGTAGGGCTTCAGGAGATGGTCTGTTGACATGGCAAGACATAAATCCCTAAGACACACACGAGCATGCATGAAGATCACCACAGCACACATGGCCTTTACAAGATACAGCCTCACATCTTTGCACACCAACCACGTTATCCTACTATCAAGTACTTCACGCAGATACGGTGCGGAGCTTTATTTGAGATCTGATTACAGCCTGAAAGCTCTCTCACTTACGTGGCCCTTTGAACATTGGCTTCAACCCAGTAGAAGGGGAAATATCTACGAGGAGATTTAAAGCTGGTCCAGATCCCAGATCTCAACCAACAGATCGTTCTTAATTGGCTCTGCCGAAAACTGTTAGGGTCAACGTTTGGTCATTTTGGAAATAAGAGCAGAGGGTGGAACAAAAGGCTGCAGTAAACCTCTTAGAAAGCAAGTTGATTTGTTCTAAACAGAGCCACATTCTTCAAAGGATGAGGGCTGAAGTCACAGGGCTCGGTGACTGGGCAGCGCTGCAGGTTGATGTCCTGCCAACGTGTTAAGGAAACCTCTCAGAGCCTTTAGACTCTTTCAGAGGGAGGGAAGGGAGTCATGGTCAGAACTGCTGATGACGGACACCTTAAGATGGTAAGTTGATGAGAATCTAAGGTTTTCTAAAACGCCTGCAGTAGTCTCCTGCAGGAGATGGCCTAGACCAGGGGTGGGCAATTCCAGGCGTCGAGGGCCGGTACCCGGCAGGTTTTAGATCTCACCTTGGGTCAACACACCTGAATCACATGATTAATTCGTTACCAGGCCTCTAGAGAACTTCAGGACATGTTGAGGAGCTAATTTAGCCATTTAAATCAGCTGTGTTGGTTCAAGGACACATCTAAAATCTGCAGGGACAGCGGCCCTCGTGGCCTGGAGTTGCCCACCCCTGGCCTAGACAAATCCCAGTCCTCTACTAAGTCCAAAGCACCATCTTGCCAGAAGCCCACCAAAATGTAATGGTTTCTTTCATTGCTTGGGCTTCGTCTCTCCAAGTCTGATGAAATTTGATCCTGTTGACAGACAAACACAGCTAAAAACAAACTTGGTTCTGTTAGACACATTTGTATCAGAAGCATGAATGTCTAAACTACACATTTCATCAAACCACTTTCTCCACGTTGAAACAGCTGCGTTCAGTAACTAACAATCAAAATATTTCTGTAGCAAAACCTACATTACATCTATAATCCCTTAACTGTGAGTAATCAGATTTTCTTCCTTCTACTTATTCGATCTTTGCTCTTTTGTATGCCCGTCTTCTTTCATCATTTTATTCATGTTTTTCTCTCTCGTTCTCTGTATTTACTCAATTGTGCTCCATTTTCCTTCATTGTTTTCCATTTCTACATTTTACTTCCTTGTTTCATAGTGCTGTTTCCCTTTTTTGGAATATTTTTCACTTTCCTTTCCCATTTGACTCGTGCACTTTCTTATGCTTCCACCCCTCGTTTCTCCTCCCTCATCTCAGTCACTCGGTTCAACAGAAAGTTCATCAGAGTTCACCTTTTCATAAACGCAGACTTAGAGTTCACCTCATGTCGTAGTCAAGAGTTTTAAAAGTTTTAAAAACTGTTTGCAGCTGCATCCGGGGTGAAGTCTTGTGTAATACGCCTCTGCTTATTAACAGTCTAGAAACCGAGGCTTTGTTATTCAAAGGTTTGATTCTGCAAGCTTTGCAGTCTTGACCTCTGCTTACAGTTGGACAATTGCATTGATGAAGCAATGGCAACCTTCATCATGTCCTCACGTCGAGTTCACGCACAGAAAACTTTTCTTTCACGCAGTCAGGCAAATAATAGCAGGATATTAGAAAACATTGCTCAATGTTTGCACCAAAAGCATTTTGTTCATAAAAACACCACAGAAGGCAAGGAGTGAAAAAACCGTGTTCACTGATTCCACATCAACAGGAACAGTAAGTGAAACGTGGAGTCTCATTGTCAGCTTGGTCAGCAGAAACCAAAATGTCTTCAAACCCAGAAAGCTAAATCATAGATTTAAACTGTAGTGCAGTTTCCAGACAAATTCAATTTCTCAAGCTGAATCTTGATAAGATGACATGGAATATTTTCATTTGTAAACATGCAACCCTAGAATTTCATCTCGGATCCTTAAAACCTCTCTGTGAATCATAACAGAAGTATGCTTTAGACCTTTTAGTCCAAAAAGTCTAAAAGAAGATTGGAAACCACTGCATTCTCCCAAATGGTCCATAGAACTTCATAAAATACCCTTAAACATCTCTACAACCTCTGCGGAGACACCAATCATATTTCTCGTTTGCTCGTCCTAGAAGCTCCTGTGAGTTTCTTGAACTCTCGTGGTTACATTCCTGGGTTATTCCCTGTGTTAACGATGAAGTTCTCTGAACACAGATATTAGGTGTGAATGTGATATTACGACAGTTCTGATCACTTCCAGGTGTATCTCACAGCTGATTTATAGACCCCCATGACCTTCCAAGTCCAGCAAAAGGGAGAAATAGAAATCCTCAGACACATTTCTTTCACACCTCTTTAAACTTTTTCATGAAGCTCTAAACACTAAGCGATGGCTCACATTTCGTAGTTCAGCACAAACATTGGCTGTCACCCTTTTTCACTAACAGTGTTGTAACATCACAATCCTGACTTTTTCATCCCACATCTGTAACTTTTTGGGGTCATTTTTTAACCTCGTTTGATTGATGGCAGTCTTTGTATCCTATAACGTTTTCTGTCTGCAGGGTGTTATATTAACCAAAGGAGATTCCCCAGTACAGGAAAAATTGCCTTGGTAATCAAAGAAAAACGTTTTTCTTTCCCTTTTCCCCTTGATTAAAAGGGGAAAACAGTTGGAGGGTTTTTGGGGGGGTTTGTTTCTTTTTACAAAGACATATTATTACTTCTCTCCAAACCACAGGGTTAAGTTTAGGATTGCGAGCTGGTGTTGGGGTCTTCACTGATGATCACTTAGACCTCAGACTTCATGAGTGATTCGTGGTATTTTTGTCTTTTTCTTGGGAAGAACATTTGCCACACACTGTGCAAGTTTAATATCAACAAATTAAAATTTTAGTGGTTTTATGTGAGTTAGCTCTCCTGTCGGTGGCAGTTATTTAGGTCTCTACAAAGTGTCTTTTCGACCTTATTCATATTTGTTCTTCTCTGTCTCTGCACACATTGTTTTCTTAACCTCAGGAGCCTCTCAGAGCCTCAGCCATAAATTGCAGCGCTGCGCCCCTTTAGACCTGGAGCCTCTTTTCTGCAATACCGCAGTCACATATTCACCTCAAAACCTCTGACCACAAACACAAACATTTTTTTATTCCTACGTATTCGTTTTTGCCCTGATCATATCTCAAACGGTGTCACTACCTTGACGTACGAATCATGACAAAGCAAACCAAACAAACCATCTCAAATACGTTTTCCACCACAGCATGGTGCAACAAACAACAGGACTTACTGTTTCTGTAAATGTGGTTTCTCCTGTCGCTGTCCTTTAGCCATCAACCAAGAATCTGCAGCTCCCGGGGAACCTGAAGATGAATAGGATCATACGACGATTTGAGCGGACATATCAAATTAATTGTGTTATGTAAGGGGAAGGGGATCAGGGTCAGACAAACTTGTTTGTTCTTTGACGTGGCTAACACAGAAAGTGTTAAGCTGGGCTCAGCTTTTTCAGCACTGTGATGACGTGGTGAATTTTTCATTAGTCAGGCTTCCGCGTCTGCAGTCACACACTCGGTATACCGAGGATAGACCAGCGCATTAACAGGCGTGCTTTTCTTCTCTGCTCTTTGAGATGAAAATGCTCTTTAGGGGGGAAAACAAATTGGATGAATTCAGAATTTCACCAAAAAACAACAAAGATGAAGTACTTTAAATCTGCACACAGTATAGTTCCTTTTGAGACCCTCGGCTGTGTGTGGTGGCCCTTTGACTCAAGACTCAAGAGCTGGTCTCCTGGCCTTATGTCAATTTTGTTTGAGTCTGAGAGCTAAAAGACATCACAGCATGAAACCTGCTCCCCCTCCCCACATTCCCCTCTGTTATCAGATATCAAGCTGCTCACAATAACAAAGCACAGCTCAAAATATCCTGGCAGTTGAACAGCAAGTGGAACTCAGCAGAAAGCGTTTGCAGCTATGAATCAGGTGTTTCTGCAGCGTGGAGCAAAGCTGAGGTATTTATTTCACTCTCACTCAGCGGCTTTTTTCTCAGGACGTGACTCTGGAAATCCTCCAAGGACACGGATAGAAACAACTTGCCAACGCCTCGACACTCTCGCCAGCAGAGCTCTTTCAGACACCCGCTGCACAAAAGAACAAACAGAACAGCGAGTACCGCTGTGGATCAGGTTGTAGGACCAGGACTTCTGGGAAACTGGGCGAGCTGCGGGGTACGTGACAGATCCCCACGGTGGCTGTTTCTGAGGGACACTGCAGTCCTGCTGGAGGAACATATGTGGGTGTGTGAACACAACGGCTCTGCGGTTGGTTCCTCATAAAGTTTGAGGAAAAATAACAGCTCGCTCCACTGATCAGGGAATGAAGGAATTCAGGAATCTGTTAATTATTATTGACTAATTACTTAGTTTAAAAATGCAGTGAAACAGTTCCAAGAGCGTCTGAGACCGCATGCCTCTGCCAAGGCTGAAAACTCCTTTCACACCATGCATGTGTTAATGCCTAATCTTAGCCCAGATAACAGTAAGATTATTGTGTAATGATTAAAACTTTCCAGTTGTGCTGTAAAACATGTCCATATTATTTTCAGAAACAAACAAAAAACAAAACAAGCATTGGTGAAGGTAAAGAAAAAGGTTCACGCATTAACAAAGAACTTTGTGTTTGAGTCGATCTTTTGTCAGATTCTGTTCGAAATGAAAACTCTGCATTTGTGAGCTACACCTGAAGGACTGGATGGAGGAAGTGCAGGGTGCAATGCTGTGACACCAGAAACCAGGTTCACACCCAGACTCTTGCCTGTGGCTGAGCCAACAAAAGCTCTTTTGTGCAGGTTTAGGTACTTTTCAGGACCTGAACCAGGATCTGAGCAGAACCAGGAAGCCGTCATAATGCTGCAGGTAGTACAGGTGGAGCCTGGAGTCAGGAACAGACTGTCAGACACAAGATATGAAAACTTATCCCTAACCTGGCGGCGGTGTCTCACACGTGTTTCTCTGTAAGCATCTGAGTGGTCATTTTGCCTGTTTTGTAATGTTTTGTGTTTCCAACAAGAACAGTTAACAGATGAAGGTTCTGGTTCGGGGGCCATGAGCTGCGTGACTAGAGTCCCAGATTAGATATTGTGCTAGAACACTGTGTGATATTTTGCTGAAAGTATCATGTATTTATAACATAGGTATATATGATTTATATAAAGCAACTTTTTGGAGTCAAAGTCACATAAACCAAAACCAGTGTTTGCTTTCTTTTTTTCTTCAGAGGCAAAGACAAGTGCATCTCGTTTTCTTTTTCGTTGGCTCTGCAGCTTGACGTTAACAGTAAAGAGACATGAACTTGAAAAAAATGCTCGCTCTGTCCCTGCAGGCTGCGACTCTGGCTTTGGGAATGCAACGGCTAAACATCTGGACTCCCTGGGCTTTGAAGTGTTCGCCACAGTGTTGGATCTGAATGGAGACGGAGCCAAGGAGCTGCAGAGGACCTGCTCACACCGCCTCACCCTCCTCCAGGTGGACATCACCCAGCCACAACAAGTGCAACAGGCCTTGCTGGACACCAAAGCCAAACTGGGGCTCAAAGGTAAAGACGAACTGCTTTTTCTGAGTCTGTTCATACCAGACAAACCAGCTAGGATTAGGCTTAATGGATTTAATGGAGCTACCGCCACATTTATCAAGTGTTTCAGGGTCACAAGTTAGGATGATCGCGTGTTCTTATGACTGCGGTTTGAGATGTAACATTTAAATCTCAGCACGAGTTTGACATCTGAAATGGCTCGTGTAGTCTTCTCCAAACTGTACTCTGTTTTAGAAGTAGATCCAAAGAAAACAGGAATGATGCCAAGTTTTACTTTTAATATATTTTATATGGTTCAAAGTATGTTTGACAAAGGACAGATTATTTATTGAACTTAAAAGCTGAAATAAAACTTTTGAACCCCATAAAAAGAACAAATCTCTGCAGTCCAGATGTCGATAGAGCATAAAAAATAATCTCTGAATATCTTTCTGGATTTCGTTTGAAATGTTCTGACGAAATCGTCAGCAGCTTCAAGTACATCTTCACCTGTTGACCTGTTATCATCAAAAGTCTTGGGTATTAAAAAAATACAAAGAACTAAACTTCAAAGCGGCTCCATCAACATTAGCAACACTAAATTAGTGACATCTTGACTGCAGGGAGCTGAGTGATTATGAATGAAGTCACCGGGTGTCATGGTCCTGGGTCGTGCGACCCAGTGTTTTGTGTTTAGTCTATTTTGATGTTTATTGATTGTTTAGGTTCATTAAGTTAGTCCAGCCATCTGTATATACCACCCTTGCATTACATCTCCCTTGCCCTTCGTGTGTTTATGTCTGTGTGTCTTGTACTGTCAAGTTCATGCTGTCAGTTATGTCACCTCCCCCTGTACTACGTCTCCCCGGTTCATGTCTCATGTTTCCTGTTTTACTTTGAAGGCCTGCATTCACTGTCAGTGTATTCAGTTTCACTCCTCCTGTCCTGTCGTTAAGTTCATGTGTGTCAGCTGCGTTCCCATGTGTGGCCACTTCCCCTGATCATTCCTCATGTGTATTTAGTCTCTGTGTTTCATGTAGTCTGCGTCGCGTCGTCTGTGTTCCCACCCTCCATGTTTCCATGCCCGGTCTGTTGTATTCATAGCCTTACCTTAGTTCATTCCCAGTTTAGGTTTCTGTTTAGTTATTGCTTTTGAGCTGCCCTTATTCTTGTTTGTTTCTCTTGCGTTACCAGCCACAATAAAAGGCTCGCTTTTGTTTAAAGTTTACTCCCGTGTCACTCGTGTCTGCACCTGAGTCCTCCACGCACTCTCCACACGGTCTGTCACAGCGGACCGTGACACCGGGCAGTTAAGGGTTAAACAAAACTGGAACAGGAAGGAGTTCAGAAAAACAACAGCAATCTGCAGGGAACAGGTGTATGTGGGGTTTACCGCAGCGAGGTGGCCTGTCAGTTAACTTGTGACTTGACACGCCGGTGTGATAAAGTTTAATCACCTGCTGAGCTTCTGGTGAACTTCACAAGATCAAGGTTCGAAGGGAGAGAGATTTATGAGCACCGGTAAATGCTGGACTGCTCCTTTAAATGGTCGGCTGATTCTGCACAGCGTGCTGGTTCAGAGCGTGCAGCGATGCACAGGAATGTGTGGTGGAGTTTGTCCAACAGCCTTCTAGGAAATCACAGTGGCAGAGGAGGCGCTCAGGCAGCAAAACCACTGCAAATGGCTCGGACTGCTTTGCGAGTGGAGGACTGTTCGAGAGGTGTAGTGCAGGTGTCTCATATTTCACACACAGATATCAGAGTGTTGATTCAGTCTGTGATTGGCTCAGCCCTGCAGCACCCACTGGCTTTGTAATTAGACATCTTAGACCGCTGGCTTCATGTCCCAGTCATTTAAGGATACACACAGTGTGTGTGCGTGTGTGGATGTAATAAAATATCTGGAAGGAAAGGTCACTTAAACACACGCTGGAACTGCGCGTGTGGTTTATGTCCTTGCATGAGTGTGCACTTTTTTACTCGTGTTGTTGGGACATGGATTTGGCCACAGTCACACTGTAAGGATTCGCCTCCCTGCGAGACATAAATCATGAAACTGTTGTGTGGTTTGCTTGGAGATTTCTAAGAGCGGATTCAGAAAAAGATTCAGAAAGAATCCCCTCTTGCTTTATTTTAATTGAAGATCAATCGAGTTGTAGTTTTTCCATAAAATTTCCCAGCTATGAGAAAATAAAAACATACTTTTAGAAAATCCTGCAAATCTATTAAATGTCTCATTTAGAAACGAATTCTTTGTTCTGGCACCAAACGCCCATCTTCTGCATTCTGTTTGCTTGAATTGCCATTAAGATGTCCTGAAGCTCATTGGACAAAGTTTAGAAGGCTACACACCTGATTATGCAATAAAACATTGATAAGCAGAGATTATGGTGAGGCTAAAACACTCTATTTAAAGTCTCAAGTGTTCCCAGAAGCCAAAGAAAAGAAAGCTGGAGTGCCTCTTCATAGATCTGGCTATCAGACAAAACTAGTGATTGAGCAAGATAGTCCTTGACCAGGGAGGGAACCCAAAGATCACTCCAAGAGAGGGCTCTGTGGGGATGTCTGCCTTACATAAGGACTCTTAGAGTGGTAATAAGTGTTCATTAATAACCACAAAGACACATTAAGGTTGCCTTTCACAATAAAATTCTTTACTGCAGCTTATTTCAAGCAGCTTCGGTTTTACAATTTTAGTTTTATCCGAAGGTCACCTCCAGTTCCAGTTCACAGAACATGAACTGCTGCCTTCTGGTTTGGAAACTTTATGTTTGACCTTTTTACCGCTGACCCAGAGTCAAAGTTTGGCCTGTTGTTTGCCTGCTTATCATTCATCAGCTCAGACCTAAACAAAGTTCCCACAGCGGCCCCCGAAACAAACACTGTGATTCTGGGACAGCCGCTTCAGATGAGGACGAGTGAGGCTTATTTACACCAGCAGAGCGAGAGAGAGAGTTGTTGGTGTACTACAGCTGAATGTGTTGGCAGTCTGAGGGTCTGCGGAACAAATGTTACATAAAAGTTCTGAGAAAACACACCAGGCCTCCACATGTTCGCTGTGAATCCAAGAGATCAATCAAAAGTACTCAGACTCTCACCACAAAGGAAACATGGTCCATCATTAGAAAAGTAATGACTTATTTATTCAAATATACCCAAATTCTTCAAAAGTAAGGTACAGAAGATGATTTAAATTTTAAAGTTCTGTCAGTCAGCTCGATAATTAAAACTAAAACAATTAGAATGGTTCACATTATTTCACAGTATTTGTGCGCAAATATGTGTGTAAAATACAAAATAGCATCAAATACTTGGAGTGCAATTACCTTAAGTTTCACTTAAGTAGCAAGAAATAATACTAAAGTCAAACTCTTTATTCATTTGAATACCAAAGGTCAGCATCTACTAAAAAAGATTTTTCACAATCAAATCCGAAACGCTGTAATTAATTAAATGTATCCTGTCATGTCAGTAACTATTAAATTCGCCTTTTTGTTGTCCTCTGGCACACAAGCCATCTGTTTTACCATTAGTGCTTTCATGTGTCTGTGTCAACACACCACATTTCCTAACCTCTGCCGTGCGTTGGTTTGTCTTTGCAGGTCTGTGGGCTTTGGTGAATAACGCCGGCGTGTGTGTGAACTTCGGAGAAGTCGAGCTGTCGCTGATGTCCAACTACCGTGGGTGCATGGAGGTCAATTTCTTCGGCACGCTGAGCATCACCAAGGCCTTCTTGCCGCTGCTGCGACAGACCAAGGGACGCATTGTGACCATCTCCAGTCCCGCCGGTGTGTGTCTGAGACGTTCACACACACACACATACAAAGATGCTGTGATAAATCTTACGTGAGTGCTCCAAAGTGAGTGAGCCACACTTAAACTGTTGCCTTCAAACAGCCAAAGCAAACAAACAGCGCTGCTGCCAGCCGTTTGTCCAACTCGACTCTGTCATCATGCCAAAACACCACAGTGCAACCAAATCAATCAGAAAGGTTCATCCCCAGGTGCAGTTAATGAGCTCAGCAGCTTCCACTGACATCTGCTGTTGGTTAGACTGTAAGACAGAGTTTAACATTTTCTCTGTATGTGGTGAGGTGGAAAGGGAACAGTTCATGCTCTGGGCCCTAAAAACACTAAACACATCTGCAGAAGATATATATCGTCCTCTTTCTTAGACTCACATTGTTACATCTAACACAGAAATGAATAACCAGGATATCCAAGAGTGGACTTAGTGAGACTAATATATGCTGTTATAACAAAGCTAATTTGGCTACTGTGCATACGGAAGAAATGTTATAGTTAATTTTGACCATAATGTACAAATTTATTTAAGAATTTCTTCCCTGATCAGCTTTTTGCATTTTGTTGATTCAGTTTAATAAAAATTCCACTAGTTACATTTTCTTAGTTTAGTTTTTTATGTCAAATTTTTAGTCCAGTTGGATCCAGCAAAGTGAACTGATGTGGTTCTTTGACCACAACTCAGAAGCAAGACCCACTTTTTTCATTTTTTCATCTGGTAGATCTGTAACTTGAATCACAAGTTACTTTGATGGTTTGTTTATTATGTCTTATGAGCACTGTTGAGAGAAAGGTTTTCTGAATTAGTACCTGAGTAAGTGCAGGCGTTGCGCACCAGTGGATGAATACTCTGACAAATTAACCTGAGTAAGTTAGTTCAAGTGAAGGTTTAAAAAACAGGAAGGAAGGAAAGCACTTTAGGGCTCATTTGGTCTGGTTCTGTGGGTGAAGGCAGCTGCACAGCAGCAGAACAAACAAAGAAGAAAATGACCAATTCTTTTGTAGAGTATTTAGCCTTAATCTTACTACATGAAAGAGGTCATGCTGACGCTTTACCCGTGCTTCTAGGTGACCAGCCATTTCCCTGCCTGGCAGCATATGGAGCATCTAAAGCAGCTCTGAACCTCATCACTGAGACTCTGAGACATGAGCTGGAGCCCTGGGGAGTCCAAGTGTCCACCATCCTGCCATCCTCATACAGGACAGGTACCAGTACCAAACAGTACCCTGGACACCTCAACTCACCACAGTTTACAGAGGAATGAGCAGAGATTTGAGGTCAAACAGAGTAGTTGGGTTATTGGCTGCATTCAGTCAATTAAAAACCTGCATGAATGATTTATGTCATGCTGGTATTCGGACCTACTAAGGCACAATAGTCAACGGAAACAAATTGTTATTTTTATATGAAATGTGATAAGATGTAGGAGTTCCACAAGGCTCAATCAACGGTCATCCAATATTTTCATTTTCCAGTTAGAAGCTTTAATCAAACGAAATAAATCTGTTGTTACTGCATTATAAAACTAGACACGGGAAACTAAAAGAAACTTTATTTGACACTTTTTTAAGTTAAACTGTAGTATTTTTAATAGCTTCGTTTAATGGTACCAACCAGAGAATTCGATTTATTCACTGTTTTCAAAACCAACTCGTACTATTCACATCACTTCATATTCTTATCAAATAATTTTCTGTAATATTGACAGACCAAGAAATCTGTAAAAAACTAAAGTAAAAAATTTTTAAAAACTGTTCCACATTCTGGTTCAAAAAGTAAAAGTGATGAGTGGAATATGAAAACATTTGTTTGGCTGCCAAACCTTCCAGAGAAGATGACAAGTTGTGACGAAGGGCTCGCTAAGCGCTGAGGTGAGATGTAGAAATAAGCTTAAGATTTTTATTAATTCGGATCCATCGGGAATAAACTGCACTCCTCATCCTGCAGGAGTTGTACACTGTGGTTTGGCCTCATGTCAAACACAATGACAGCCCTCCTGCTGAGGAAAGTACGCTCGTGATGAGAAACACATGTGTGATGGACCATCTGTTTTCACACACGCACACACTCAGCGCTGACTTGGGATTTCGAAACTCTTCGGGGATGGATGGATATGATTAGAGGGAGGGAGGGAGCATGCCTCAGTAATTCACTTTGTCCTGCAGTTGCTGTGCTCAGGAGACAGATCAACATAACAACTCAACAACCTGATTATGTTGAAATGTAGAGACAATATCTAACTCACAATCACGGGCCAGTGATGGAGTAAGTACTTGCATAATTTACTTTAGGAAAATTAGCAGTAACGCATTAAAGTACTGACAATAAAAAGTCCCTGAAGTATTAAAAGTTCTGACTGTGCAATAGAGTATATTATACTATCAGTGCATTATTCTCTTCTGACTCAGAGTCTGTTGTAACCTGAGATGCAAAATTGCAGAAACTGGGAGAAAATAAACACCTGAGCATCAACCAATAGACGCATTGCTCCATGCAATTAAATTACGCTTTCTAATCTTTAGCAGTCTTAATGACTTTGTAAAGGGATCTAATTCAATGTTATGTCAAAGCTATTTATCATTTTTTCATAAACATTTAAAAAGCATGAAATATCTAATTTTCTTCCTATGCTTCTATAAGAAATTGACAAATCTTAAATAAATTGTTTGGCAGTAGCAAAAAGCAAGTTGCAACTTGTGCATAATCATCAGCATAGAAAGTGCATTTTGGAAAATAAAAATTAAATACTTAAATGCTGCTAGTAGGACTGTTAATATTGATCTAAACCACACAAACGCTGATTATTTTTTTCATTATTTATATGATTTGAAAAACAGTGTGATTATCTGTCTCAAAGGCCTTTACAAACCAGTGAAGACTGCAGTAAAAGAAAGTTAGTCTCCTTCAGGAAAACCCCTCGTTAATAGCTTACCAGTGTTTGCCAGGCAGTGATGGGATCAGCTTTAACCCTAAACTCTAAATTACTTTTGTACACTTTATTATCACACATTAGAGTGAAATGTGTTTCTTATTGGTCTGAAGGTAAAAGAAAATCTTTAAACAGTGAAAAAAGCTTTTAAAAGTCCACTTGCACTCAGCTGTAATAAAAACAGGTTGTAATGTTTACCACTGCAGTGTGACCAAAATTATTCTAGTCCTCCTGGGTCCTCACAAAAACAATAAAAGCAAACAGCAGCTTCAAACAGGAAAACGTAGGACAGCAAAAGAACCACAGAGAGGAGTTCCCGTCACGCCGGCTGTGGTGATGACAGGGATGTAAACACCGAGCTGGCTCACTTTCCATCTGTTTACTCTTTAATCCTGAAGAAACAGGTTTGCATTTAAGCTTCTTATCCCACTCTTCAACTTGAACTTTCCAAGACCTGCTGACACCATGTTCAACAGTTAAACAGCCAGTCCGCAGCTGAGTCAAGGCTCACACTGAGGCAGTGAAGTGTCAAAAGCTGCTGATTCTGTGCAGGCAGCTACAGCCGTCCCTTTTGTTGAAATTAAACCTGCATGTGAAGCAGAGATGCTGATTCTAAACCTAAAAAACTACACACCGAAGGCCTAAAATGGATTTTCACTTTAAATGTCGAAGTTAAAAAGCAAGCAATATTGGGGTTTGGTGTCATTGATGTTGCTATGGTAACACTGCCCTCTTCTGTCTGCAGCTCAGTCCAGTAACTCCGCCTACTGGGAGAAACAGCACAAGCATCTGCTGCAGAATCTGTCCCCGGCGTTGCTTGAGGACTACGGTGAGGAGTACGTGACCGAGACCAAGGATCTGTTCCAGACCTTTGCCAAACACACCACCACCAACCTCCAGCCTGTTGTTGACACCATCGTGCAGGCGCTGCTGGCTCCGCAGCCTCAGCCGCGTTACTTTGCAGGCTCTGGCTTGAGCCTCATGTACTTCCTCCACACCTACTTTCCTTACAGCATGAGCAACAACTTTCTGAAGAAAAGGTTTTTGAAGAAGAATGTGATCCCGCGCGCTCTGAGGAAGCAGTCAGCCTTTGATCTGAACCTCAGCCTTCATAACAACAACAATGAGGAGAAGCTACAGCAGATGTGAGACAGTCAACACAGAGGGTATTATCCTGCAGATAGAGGACCACTTCTGTAACACACTCATAGAGCTGTCGTTTTATGTTTTTTAAAATGTTGAAGGGAACATTGAGATGCACCAAAATGGTTTCTGTTTGTCTCTGTAATGTCTGGCCTGCATGGGGAGGTCAGGGGGTGGGGTTCGGCAGATGCAACCACAGGCCGATCACGGGACACCTTCACCTCTGCCAGCTGTACTGAATAAACACCGGAAGGATCACACTGATGTCATGTGCCTTTATCACATAGAAAGCAGCTTTGCAGGTGGAAGCAAACACTACAGCAGCTCATTAAACCAACACCAGCACAGCCATACAAAAATATCGTTTGCAGAAAGATATCAATTTTTATCACCTACATCATATTAAATTATTTAGCTTCATAATCATAATAAAAAGTTAATTTTCTATCAACCCATCAACAGTCAGTGTGATTCTTAGATTGAGACTAAGCTAGATGACATAAAATCTACTGACTCAGCACGACTCGTCCCGTGTTGAATCAAATTATATGCCTGATTCAAAGACTGCAGATTATTATAAATTCTCAAAAACCCCAGCAACAACAGTTTTCTTGCTGTCTAAAGGAGCTTTTACTGACTATCGCTCTGGAGTTTAACAAATCAAACACTGGTCTGGTCCATCTCCGGATGTCAGGTCTGGCCCCACACTGATTCGACTGATGCTGCTACCTGAACCTGATGTTCAGCCAAAATTAACGCACAAAAAAAGAGCCAAATCTGACATTTGTGTCCGGGCCAGAGCAACATCACAGCTGAGTCAAGCCACCTGTGAGCATCTTAAAGCAGCAAGTTACAAAGTCAAAGTTAAAAATCTAAGGGAAACCTCAGATCTGTAACTCAAATCTCGTCCGGCCAGCTCCACGTTTATATTCAGTACAGAAACTGGTAGAATGAGAACACACCTGCTGAATACTGTGTCTTTGCTCAACAGAGTCAACTGACAACAAGTCAGAGGCCCTTATTAGAAGCAGATTTCATTATTTGCAGGCCCTCATTTATGGTTCCTGATGTTCCATCGTCTCTAAGTCGCCTCTGTCAGTGCGCCCCAGGGTGGCTGTGGTTATAATGTAGCTTGCCATCACCAGTGTGCGAATGTGTGTGTGAATGGGTGGATGACTGGATATGTAAAGCGCTTTGGGGTCCTTAGGGACTAGTAAGGCGCTATATAAATACAGGCCATTTACCATTTACCATCTAAGTCATAAACACTTTTTAGTGAGGCACAAAGAACTGCGTCACAGTAAATTCATTACATACATGAATCGTTAGTCATGGCACAGTCAGGAATCATTTGGGATTTTTGCATTAAATAACAGCGTGTAGAAATACTGAATGAAACTTTTGTCTAATTTTTGCTAAAATCTTTGGCCTTCTGTGAAAAAACAAAAGAAAAAAGGAGTAAAAAGGGAACAAACAGTGAAATGAGCTGCTGCAGTGCTGCGTCCATCCACCTGCATCAGAGAGAAACATATTCTTCTTCAGGTATTTAAAGACTTTACTTACACTTGTGATCTCTGGGGTCCGGGTATTTTCTGCAGGAAGCAAATTGAGGCAAAATAATTTCAAAACAAAATCACGCTTTCAGTTTGACGTATTTTGGTTTCATTTTATATGCAAAACCAAAACACAGTGACTTTATTATCTGATTTTGGCTTGAGAAGTTTGCTCATCAACGCCAAACATGGTTATCAGACTTCCTGTTTGCATTTCGCCTTCGAAATAAAAGCACAACTAACTCTGGTGATGAATGTAGATAGTTGAGCTTAAACTTAATTTTGATCTTTTTAGCCTCTGAAATCCAGATGATCCAGCTACATTTTGGTTCTTGACAGTGAGCCACAGACACGTTTCTGTTATTCTCATGGAAACTAGAAAGAAACATGCTGTTTTCTCGCAGGACAGCCTGCTGGTTTCTCTCACTAAATGCCGACTTCATCTTCAGGATCTTTGTTTCTTCACCCTGTGTCGTCATTGTCTCTTTGATTAAATGTATAAACATGGATCAATAAATCATGTAGCAGTTTTTTTCTGCTGTTGTAAATGCAACAATTCAAACCTCAAAACTTTATACAACACATGTACAGAGCAGATATGGTATTATATGCTGGGGTGTTGCTATGAGTCATGCAGACACTACATAGCTAAAAAACAAACTTTTGTGCACATGTTCAGGGTGTTGTGTTTCTGTGGTTGGAAACAGCCTGTCTCTCATCAGACTCACCTCCAAAAACATCCCCGAGTTTTTTCATTTTGTGTTTTTTGTTCTGTCTATTTGTGTGTTTGTTTTGTTTCTCAGCCCATTTCGAATCAAACTATTTATGGCATCTTTTCTTTTATCACCATTCAAATTGTGACTTTGTTTCTTTTTATAAAAAAAATTTAAGAAAACTAAAAAAAAAAAAAACATGATGTAAAACGTTCACTTGGTTGATTCTGTAATAGAAATAAAGTTGGCTTTTCAGACTTCTACCTTTGCGGCGATTTGTGAATTTGTGTAGAAATATGAAGATATCCCCTCTAGAACAGTACACAGTGGTCCCTCCCTATATCACGACGGTGCAATTTTCTCTGTTTTTTTGGTTAGGTTTGGGAGTTGTTGTTTTTTTTACAGCGCATTGTGCTCTGCGTCCTGATTGGCTGTAGACCATTTTCAATCAATCTCGTGCTGTGTCTCCTGTACAGTACAGAATGCGTTCAGCTTGTCAAATTTACATAAATCTTTGCCAGCAGAAGACAACAAACATAACGGTGTCGACGTCAAAGGATTATAAGGCACATTAAGCGAAACAAAACTGTCAGATAATTCAAACTTAACTTCCTCTACTTCCATACCATTAATAATAATGGATTGGATTTATATAGCGCGTTTCAAGGCACCCAAAGCGCTTTACAATGCCACTATTCATTCACTCTCACATTCACACACTGGTGGAGGCAGCTACAGTTGTAGCCACAGCTGCCCTGGGGCAGACTGACAGAAGCGAGGCTGCCATATCGGTGTGTTGGTGGTTCTTTGTGTCTGGGGGTGGGCGTCCGGGTACACACCGGCTCACTCCTTGGCGGCCGCTTGTCGGGGCCTGGGGCCTGGGGCTCGCTCGGGCCCCTTTGGAGGTGGGGTGCCCCGGCCTCTCGGCCTGGGGCTCGGTCACTCAGGCACAGCTGGGGGCCGGCGGAGCTCACGGGCGCGTCACTGCAACTCCCCCTGACTTCTGCTCCGGGGCTGCTGGGTGAGCCCTCATCTGGGACTCTCCTCAGCTCTTACTGGGACAGTGGCGCGGCTGCCCCTCTGTTGGTCTTCCATGGTCTCTTGTGTTCTGGGGGCCTCTGGATGTCTGGAGTTTTGATCTCCTCCATACCCGCTTCACACCCTGGAGGACGGGGCTGTGGCCCCCCCACACTCCCTAGCAGATCCTTACATGGAGAAACCTTTGGAATGCAAGCATGCTGATCCACACAGGTATGCACACATGGGTATTCACAGACGCGGACTACAGCTTTCTTGGCTGCTGCCTCAAAGCACACTGTGCGCTGTCTATCTTGCGTGCTGCACAATATCGTTTATTATTTAGTAAATACTGATATCTATGACTAGCTAGTTTATTGTGATGGTGCTTTGTTTTCTCTATTATTATGTTGCTCTTTGTTGTTTGCTGTCTCCTCTGTTTGTTTTTTTTGTTTTTGTTTTTTTCTCCATACAGGTGACCCAGGAGTTCTTTTTTTTCTCTCTCTCTTCCCCCCCCCCCCCTTCTCACCGTCTCTTCTCCCTTGGGTTTCTTCTTTCTCTCCCCCTCTTTCTCTCATTCATTCCCCCTGTCCATTAAAAAAAAAAATGACAAAGGATGAACTGAAGCTCTGCCATCACGTAATGTATCTGTTTATGATGTATTTAGAAAAAAAAAAAGAAGCGAGGCTGCCATATCGCACCATCGGCCAACACCAGTAGGCGGTAGGGTGAAGTGTCTTGCCCAAGGACACAACGACCAGGACAGAGAGCTCGGGGATCGAACCGGCGACCTTCCGGGTACAGATACGCTTCCCAACCCCCTGAGCCACGGTCGCCCCATTGATTCATTAATGTTGAATTCTCTTGCAGCTGATCTATTCCCATGTTCTGGACCTGAAAACAGGGTTTTTCTACGAAGGTTTGATCTTTGAGAGTTTAAACAAGAAAGAAAAGTGTGGAAATGTCGATGCCTGTCTAAGAAAAGTGTATAAAGTGTGTAGAGAGGGGTTTTACAGCCTTAAAACATCTATAATAATTGTAAAAAAAATAAAGTTCCCTACTTCACCTATCGCGGGTTATTTTTAGAACGTAACACTCGCGATAAACGAGGGACCGCTGTATATAAAAAGTGCAACTTAGAGTGACTTGTTGTGGTTTTCACTCTGTACACTACCACAGTAGACCTGACTGAAGTGCAGACTTATAGCTTCAACTCAAGAGTTTGACAAAAGTATTGCATGAACTGTTGTCTCTCATTTTAAAGCCTCAAAATTAATTGGACAACTGGCTGACAGGCAGGTTCATGGCCAGGTGAGGTCTGTTCACTCATTATTTCATGACAAATTAAGGAGATAAATATCTAGAGTTTATTTCAAGTTGAACTTCATATCAGTGATGCACGTGTAGGAGGCCATCATTAGGCTGACAAACCTAAATAAAGCTATCAGAGAGATAGCAAAAAAATGTAGGAGTGTTCAAATCAACAGTCTGATACATTCCTAAAAAGAAGGAGTGCAGGAAACTCAACAACACCAAAAGTCCTCAGATGTACATGGGGATGTACAATAGCTGATAATGGGCCCAAGACATTTCTTATGAGACTAACAGTCTTAGTCGCTAAAAATGATAATGTCAAGTTTGTCATGGTTTAGTTTGAGAAAGTTCAAAGACATCCAGCAATTAATATTGTTAAGAAAATCTGAACCTTTCTGCAATGTGCTATCAGCACATGGTTTTAGACAGAGGTAGAACTGTGTATCATCTGCATAAGAGTGATAGGAAATTTGGTGTTTCTGAAAAATAGAGCCTAATGGGAGCATGTATAAGGAGAATAAGATGGGGCCCAGAATAGAGCCCTGAGGTATTCCACAAGTAAGTGTAGCAGGGGAAGAGTTTTGTTGCCCTGCATCAAGGAGTTCTGCTCTCTAAGTAAGAGGCAAACCATTTTAGAGCAGAACCTTGGATGCCGACGCAC